TCAAAAAAAGTTTTCATTTATGCATGGTCCTAGTATTATTATTACTTGGGTGATGCAATCATTTGTTATATCAAATAAATAATACAATAGTGGAGGCAAAAGCAAATAACGACAAAAAAGACAAGTATTATTTTACTTATTTTAATTTATATATATAAATTTTAATTGATGATATCAGAGAAACACTGATCAATTTATTATAAAATACAGGTGAAATTTCATATTAGATGATCAACAAAAATATTAATTTGAAACATAAAAATACTTCTTAATAAGTTAAATTTTAAATAAATAATATGATTTTACCATTAACAAATAATAGCATTCATGAATCAATTCAAAGTGTATAATGACATGATTTTATTCATGTAGTTTTATATATCTAATTTCATGTTAAAAGTTTTCCGACTTTATTTTTTTATTGGTACGCAATTTTACATAATGAAACAAGTTTTTTAGAGTAAGACAATGTGAGCTTTTTGTTGCCTCTCCAATAAATAAGGTTTTTTTAACATAACTTACTTCTCCGATAAAACATAAGACTGTGATAATTGATGTCATTTTTTAAAATTAAAAAAAATGATTATGAATAGTGTGTATGCATGTTAATGTGTATATATATGCATTTAAAAAGCTTTTTACCGCATATGAAATTTTTTCATTTCATGAATAGTATGTGTATATATGTATTTAAAACAATCAGTCCAATGTGATATTTTAGAATGTTATGGGAATGGCATCTATGTAATTCAGCTCAAAAAATTTCTATTTTTTTTTTTTTGCGAAATATACTTTAATAAATAAATTTTTAAAAAATTCTCCAAAAGAGAATTGGAATTCTTGCAAAGTGCTAACTAAAAATTTTGATGTGATATCTTTTTTTATTCGATTTCCTTTTCCAAACGAGAAGGAGTGATGATTGGGATTAGAAGTTGGTGATGATCTAGAGACACTTGATTTTTTAGAGAGAGCCCATCAGCCACGGAACAGATTACCAAATAGAATTAATTAATAATCTATTTTTAGATCTAGCCAATTAAGTTCAAACACACAATAATTTTAAATAAATAACCAAGTTTTTTATATAAATACAAAAATAATAAATCTACTCTCTCACTCTCTCGAAATATATATTTTAAATTCAAAAAAAAAAAACAACCTTCTTTATATCTTTAAATATCCAATTTTTTTTAAAAAAAATGGTAAATATTTATTTTACTTATTAATTATATTCATTCATTAATTTTTTGCTAAATGATTATTTTTTATATTATAGCCTACTACAGCCAACACAAATCCCATCATTCGTAAACGTAATCAACTTTACGCTAATAACATTCATAATCGTGGACATGTGAAAACTTCGGTAATTATTATATTGTAATTTTGATGGCGATGGAAAAGGAATAATAATAATATTAATTTTTTTCTATTATTTTTAGAAAAAAGAAAATAAAATTCCAGTTGGTTATGGTACTTTGGCAGTTTTTCTTTTCTTAATAGTTGGTACAGCATTATTTGAAATTTTTAACTTGCTTTAATTAAATAATAATAATTATAAAAAAATTAGAATAAATATATAGATTTTTTTTCTTTTATTAAATAATATTGCTGAATAATTGATCAGATAATTTATTTAAGAAAATTGTCAAGTACACTAATATAATCAACCATCACGTAATTTAATTCATTATTAGTATCATTACATCTCCCTCCTCATTTTTTTTTTGTAATTATTATAAATTATAATAATAAATTATAAACAATTTTTATTAAATTAAATCTATTACAATAATAAAAAACAAGTGAGAATGTATATATATTATTTACATCTATTTAAAAATATATAATATATAATATATAATATATAATAATTTATATTTATAATTTATACATGATTACATAAAATAAATATGAAAATCTATCAAAAAATATTAACACTATATAATAAGAAAGAATTTTTGTAAAACAAAACCTTCAACAAGCCTTCAATAAACCTTCAATGATTTCAATAACATTATTGTTATTATTGATACCACGACCGTTACTGTTATCGTTACCGTTACCATTGCCATTACCATTACTATCATCATTGTAATAACCACCAAAACTTTCTTTTTTTAATTTTTTAGATTGTTCTTCCAATTGCTTTTTCAAAAATGATTTTGTACCAGAATGCATTCTCAAAATTCGAAGAATAATCTCTCCGTCATCTTTTTGAAGATGAAATCTACGTTTTTCAGATTTACGTTGTTCAATTGTGTCGATACTTCGTTGGTGAACTACTGATTTACTCACGCTATCCTTTTTCTTTTTAACATTACCGCTACCTTTATTACCATTCCTACGAGGACTTAATGAACCACCAATTTCTATGTGAAGATACTCTTGTTTCAGTGATTCTTTATCCATCATATAATATTGTTGTATTTTCATAATTTGTTGATACTTTTGATTATATATTATTTCTTTTGGTATACCATTTCCATTGGCAAGTAGATAATCCTCCAAAAACTATTAATTAAAAAAAAAGATTGTTAATATCAAAGAAGAAACATTTAATTTCCTTCGATTAAATCACCGAAAAAAAAAATATACCTTGAGCCATTTATATACGATGTCTAATTCATCAATATCAAGTAATTTTAAATTAGAAGGTCGATCTGACAACGGTGGTGTCAGAATTTCTTCAATAATCGTCTCTATTTCTTTCCACACTTTTGTCATAACCATATTGAAAACTTCTGTATTTAACGAGTTGATAAGCGTATTTAAATTTTTATCAAAATAATCAAATAACGGATGAATTCCAGATTCGATTTCAAGATCTGACTTTTTACTTTTAAGAGTATCTTTGCCAGCTGCTGTCTCCTTGAATATTTGTTTAAGTGAAGTGGCTGTTGTGCTGGAAGGCCTCAACAAACTCTTGACGACTTCTCGTGATAAACATTGTCTTAAATATGGTGAAATCTTTTTTTTTTAAAAAATAAAAATAAAAATAGTCAATAAAATAAAAACAATTAATCGCCATAATAATAATGATGATAATGATGATAATATCATAAGATAATATACCCTGTCAACAGTAGTTCTGATCATATCATCACGAGCTCGTTTTAATGATCTGAAGGCTTTTCCAAAATAAAATTGGATATCATCTTTTTCACCTTCCATACTGATTCGCACAAGCACACGCCCCTGAGGTTTCAAGTCAAGCCACAAATCATGCGCCAAAAAATCATCATAGGAATCTATATCAAGCTTAAAATAGGCTTTTCCACACTCGGCATCCGAACTAACTTGATCCTGATCCCAGACGGTTATCATAAACGTTTTTTGTTCAATTGAATCAGAATTAATCGAAATATCAAACGCTTCATCCCACCGAGGATTCAATGTTTCATAAATGACTCGAGTATGTGCCAAAACAACATTGTTCTCATCATTAATTATACAATACGTATCACTCAATCCGTTGTTATCTAGTGCCACCAAATTTTCTGCCCTTACTATTTTTAATGTGTACAAGTAACTTTTTTCTTTTTCCGATGTTTTTGAGTGTATCGAATTATTGAGAATTTCTGCAATATGATCAACGTCCATTGAATTATACAACGAGTCAAGTTGTGTATATGCTGCCTCAAGATTATTCAGTTTAATGCATAACTTAAAAATACGAAGAGCGTTTAATATTAAAGAATTAGTTATTGCCGTAATTAAAATCAATCAATTGATCAAATAATAATAAAAAATAGTCGATTACCTTTGGTTTAATATCAAAGGGCAAGACTTTTTTGCTAGCAATTGCAGTCTTCGCACTAACATACCAGGCTGATTGTTTGGTAGCTAGTTTTTCCGGATTTTCTACGATTGATAAATCATCTTTATAAAGTCTATCAATCTCTCCACAATATTGTTCTAGTGCTTTACAAACAGTCTTTATTGTGTGCATGTATGTAAATATTTGTGTAAATATAGATAATGATTAATATGATAATAAATAATATTATTAAATTCATAATTTTACACAAATGATTCATAAATAATGATTATTTACCTTGGACAAACAAGTCATGAATTTAGCAAATTGATGTTGATTAGGCCAATTTAAATTTTTCAGAGAATCAATTGATTGATTAAATAAAGTAAATAAATCCACTACAGATGATGAATGATAATCTGTTGGACTGACTGGTTTAAACTGCGAATATATAATAATAATAATTTTTAATAAAAAAAAAGCAAACACATATTATAATTGAATAATAATAGAAATTGGTTTACCACATCATTACGAATAACAGAATCAATCCAATCACGTGTCTTGTCATTTGTAGCATCCAACCACTTATTAATGTAAGGTTCAAACCAACCCTCGATTCCAAATTGAAACATTGATCTAATATTATATATATATATATATATATAATATTAAATTCATATTAATATAAAATATTTTTCTTTAAAAAAAAAAAATGTTAATTACATACCCAATAAAAAAATCTTCATGTAATTTCTTAAATAAAAGAATTTCTCTATAAAGATCAAAGATTTCAGCGATGTAAATACTTCCATTTCCATTACGATCAACCACCTCATTCATTTCTTCTCCCATCGTCACCACCACCATATCCCCTTCTTCTTTAGTACCAACTTTATTATTTTCATCTCTTTCCCTCTTTGCAAATTTCACACTATTCATAATAGAAACTTTTGAATTATTCATATCATATGCAAGGAGCAAAACTTGTCGTTCAAAGACTAATCTGACAACGTCCAATTGTCTACATAATGATAAAATGAATTATTAGCATGGATGTAATATATGTGTAAAATATCTCATCTATTATAATAAATATAACTATAGAACATGCGCATACAAACCTCATTAATGGCTCGGGATATTTTTCGTGGAGATGAGAGACTTGCGCTTTAATCCATTTTATTAAAATAATATATTTTTGTACTGCGTTTATACCTTGTTGTTGTTGATCGTTATTAAAAATTTCACCCTTCTTTTGTTGATATGCATCAAAAGCAACTTTCTTTTAAATTAAATTTAAAAAAAATTAAATTTAAATAAAAAAGTTATTATTATTATCATCATTATTTAATATCATCCATAAATTAGCAAACAACAAATATAAAATATAAAATACCTTGATGCGTTCTCGTAGGTCGTGATAGAATGGTGAAACGTCAGGATAATTAACTCGGAATAAATCTGTATCATAAATATTATTCAATAAAAAGAACGCTGGTTCAAATTCTGAAGTCTCGATCTCATACAAAGAATCTAATGCATTTTTCAACCATTTAAGCAATGAGTCATGTATTCCCGAAAATATTTCCAAAAGTTCTCTTTTCTAAATAAATTATAATTTTAAATTCAATTCATATATATTTACACATTAATGCATTAATTTAATAATTAAAATACAAATTCACATACATCAGAAATTGTCCAAGTAGAAATTTCACGTGTCCTAATAATTTCTCTCAGCAAATAAAAACCTTCTTTAATATGCTCAAGTGATATGAAAGGATCACCAAAGTCAAAACGTGTTCTAACAAAATTAAGATATTGTAACCATTTGAATCCAGGAGAAACTCTCCAGCGAAGCGCACACTGGTTTAAAAGATCCAAGGTGCTTTTTGACAAAATCCTATGAGATTTAGTAGGATTTCTATCGCCAATAACAATATTAATGCCACTGTTATTTTCTTGTTCTGATCGACGTGTGATTTCATAGTCTATACACCTATTCATCAAGAATTTATAATATAGTCGAGGAGTTGGTGGAATAAATGTAAATGACTCTGACTTGTCATTAATCTATTATTATATATGTGTTTTTTAAAAAATCAATAATTTTTTTCATAAGAATACATATTTTCTAAATAAAATAAAATAAATTTTCCAAACCTCGTTCGATGGTATCCGATGATAATTTGGGTGTAAATGTTGTGATTCTGAATTTCGACTTGGTGCCAGGGAAGAATTTGGATTGTGAATATGATCAAAGTAATTAGAGCTTTTACTATTAACATCAGGATGAACATGACTACCTCCAGGGTAGGTAAATCTATTTGTAATTGATGTTGGTGATATCGGTGATGTTAAGGGTGAGCCTGTAGAAACTCTCTTTGTTGATGGTGATGTCAACAATGTAGATAAAACTTCATTTGAAGAAGGCTTTGGTGCCAAATTTGGATTAAATTTAAACATTGTGGCCATAATATCTAAAATAGTTTTTGATTCTATTGATTTCCAAGCATTATATCCTTCTATGGTTTCAAAGTCGTCTTTGCATGCTGGGAAACCTTCGTTTCTATTCACATTGTTTAATAATAATTTTAAATCTTCTACTGCTGCCTTTTCACAAAAAAATATTGTTGTTGTTATTATTATTATTGATGTTATTATTAAGATAACTATAAAAATTAATCATATAAAAAAAACTTACTTGTTCAGTACAAAAACTTTTAATTCTTTTAATATCTTCGTTTAATCTATTTTCAGGAATGTTAAAAACAGCTTGTACAACTTTTACAAGTTCCATATCATCAATAACATCATCTACTCTATTAATAATTGATTTGCTTCGTGTAATAGCTAATGTATTTAATAGAGAAGGTTGAAATTGTCCAGGAGAATTCTTTAAGCATTCCGATAATATACCTACAAATACGCTAACTTGTTCTGTAAGTTCAGTTTGCCAAGTTTTATTTGGCGGCAATTTAGCATTTTTCAACTCCTTTTGAGCACTTTTGAGAAATATTACAATAATAGCTTCAATTTTACTGCCACCGGCAAGTTTCAATTGTTGTTTAAAGTCTGGTTGTATTATTAATTGATAAAAAATCAACAAAGTACTTTTTAGCAAAGTATTTTTAAAAATCGGATTTGGATCTTTTTCGTTAATTATTAATTTTAATTGTTTTTCTAACTCTTTAATCAACCCTTTTGGAAGTTTTTTTTTATCATCTTTAGTAAATATATTAGAAATAAAACTTCCATTTGAAGACTTTCTCTTAACAGACTTGTCATCAACAAGAGAAGTTACAGGTGAAGTGAGTGGAATTGGAGGAGTTTGAGGTGATAATAATGGTGGTAATATTGGTGAAGGTGGTGATTTATTAACTCCTGGTGTTATTAAATGTGATAAATATGCTACATATAATGAATAGTAATAAACTGAATCTTCGGAAATCATCGACCTTAGCCTCGGCATTGATATATAATCGTTTGTGGCATTGCTAGTAATAATGTTAACGTTGGTATTGTTGTTGAGTATTTCCATATTTTTATAGAGATAAAATGTTTTTGTGGGAAATTCTAGTGAAATTATTTTACAAAGTATTACTATTCTAACATATATAAATATAAATTATTTATTTATTTGTTATTCTATTATTCTAAATCGGGTATTTTTATAGTTAAAGTATAATAGATGTATAATTAATTTTTAAAAAAATAAATAGAATTAGATTTAAATGAAAAACCTACTCCTCATACTAGATTTCTTGATTTGGGATTTTGCAACAAACCATTCATGGAAAATAAAAATAACTTATTTTATTATTACGTGCATGAGCAACAACAATTAAATTAAAATAAAGAAAATATTTTAAAAAGTATTATTATTCAATGAATAATCACAATGCATTTTTGCACAGTCGAGACTAACGTGTGCAACGAAATACATCATAGTATTATTCCCGCCCGGAGAGCAAAATGTTTTAACTCCATTGTGTAATAAATACAAATTTAGAAACAAAGGTGTAACACGACACGCCACTGAAATTTCTCTTGGGTTCAATAGTTTCTAAAAGTCACGTGGATATACCCAAAAAATCCACAAAGTTCAGTTACATTATCCAATAAAAATTCAATTTCCAACATTTTTAGACAATCATAGTCTCAATTTTTGTCTAAATGTCTAAACTAATTTACATTTTAGACATTGTCTATATAATTTAGTTTAGGCACCATCCATACTGCAGATCATCTTATTGCTAATTCTAATGAGCCAGAGTTATACCATATCATATGTCTGTTTTTTAACTACTTTTACGTGTTACTTTCCCCCCAAAGATTTTGCCGCCACCCTCATTGTATCACATATTTATTCTTTGTTATATATATTAAAAAACTTTATGGCGTGACATTCACAATAATGGTTAAAACTAATAAAATTTTATTAGCCATGCACATGATCACGTTCACAATGCGATGCACATTATTATGCCCGTAGAAAAATTAAACCATCGTAGTAGTAGATATACGTAATATAATATATATATATATATTATGTAACATAAATAAGACTAAAAAAGAAATTATGCATAAACTATAAATAAACTTAAAGGAGCTCAAAAAGGTTATTATTAATAAAAGACATGAAATCAATTAAATCAAGATGTGAAGCTTATCGAGGAAATAACAATTGCATCTTCTTATTTTAGTAAATCTCACAATACACCAAATGATCATAGTGGATAGAGTTTAAATTCGATGTGAATTCAAAAAGGTGATTGGTTGAAATAGTTATGCTTATACGCCGTTGTCCTTAATAACAATGTGATGACGAGAAAATCAATCATTTTACAAACTAAAATTTTAATTGGCTTTTCATTAAACTTTATTACCATAAACACGGCGGGCGGCAACTGTTTAATATTTTCTAGCCTCAAATAAAGTTTGTGTGACTTATAAAATATCAAGACTTGAAACTCTAAAACGTAAAGAACATAACGTCCGCCTGTGAGTATTTTATCATTAGAAGTTCCTGGATTTTTGGTTGTGCAGTTTGGATAAGAGATTACAGGAGAATAATAAAGGATAAAAAAATATTTTCTCTGTGACAAGATTTCTGAATCTTTGATCTTTAGGATCATCCATAAACTATAAACTTTAGATAAATTCATTAAAATAATAATTTTGAATTTCATTATTATTACAATGACATACAAATAAATCACAAAGTTTTCTATATTAATATTATCATTTGATATAAATTATGCTTCTACTGATACGATAAATTCCACTGCTTCTAAATTACTATTACTGTTACTATTGTGTGTCACAAAAGAGTTCGAAATTTGATACTGGTCCTGATCCCGTTTTACCTATATATGGATATCATTGAACTATTCGGACTTTGCCTTATCATTTAGGTGTTTTAATGCAATGAATGCTATTGAAACTAAGTTTTGGGATAGATTTTTACGATACAAAATTCTGATTGACTAATTTGAATTTCACGCGCATTCACACACAACACTAGTTGGATCATTTTTAAAAAATAGCGAATCTCTTTTTGGAAACTCAACAAACTACACAAACTACAATGACGAAACTATTTTTTTATATCATCACGAAATTTTTGGTGGACTCCTACAGTCACGTTATTTTTATATATCCTTTTTTTACTTGAAACATTGTAGAAATGAACAATTTATAGATTATCTCAATTTATAACATCTAATCTTTATGTTCTTTTAAAGCTACCTTGGAGAAATGGAATATGTAATTTATCCAGTGAAGCAACTCGACTCATTGCAACGTATATCTAAAACATGTTTTCATCAACATTTAATGTCATGTGTGGTAAAGTTAAAGCAAATGCATTCTTGATTATTAATTATACTGGACAAATATTTTTTATTTTTTATTTTCTCTATATATAAATTTTGAATTAAATTAAATATTCAATAAGTTAAAAAAAAATCAGCAAGAAAAATGATAATATTTATTTTACTAGTACTAGTACTAGGTGCCAAATTCGTCCTTGAGTTTTATACTTTTTAGGAAGGTAATTAAAAAGCTGAGAGCATAATGGACATCCATTTATCACACAAATTGACAAAATTGAACGTCGATCTTTTTTATATTGTGAAACAGAATTTTCAATTATTTTAAAGTAAAAAAAAAAAGAGGAATATCGGTACAAAAAAAGTAATGCACATTGCATATTATTTTTAAGTTATTTCTTTATGTTTGAGCAAAATAAGATCCTCAGATCTTGGTCCTATCAAAAATTAGATGAGAATCAAAAATTTTTAAGGTGCATAACTTAGTAACATGACTAAAATACATTGTGACAAAAAGAATGTTTTCCAAGAACATAACTTCCTTTGAAAGCTTTGCTTGGTTAAAAATAACCCAGTTAATCCAGCAGATTGCAAGATCTAAATAAGAGGTAAAAATTCCAAAAAGTATACATATTTTTTACCAAGGTGCACAAAAATTAATGATTCAATTACACTTCTTATTCTTTTTCATTTATTTCTTTAGACATAAAGGTAATTGTGCTAGAGCAACACATACATACATATTATTTATTACATATTGGGATAATAATAAGTACACTAATAAAAACGTTATTTATACATGATTGACTTGAGACATAAAAGGTAGCCATAGATATATTATTTTTTTTTTATTTATTACATATCAGAAAGTGCATACTAATAAAAAATGTTATTTATACATGGATGCTGTATAATTGACTTGAGACATAAAAGGTAGTCGTAAATGTATTATTTTTATTTATTTTTTGCATATGGGGTATGCTGCAACAAAACCAGACAAAGTGAACATTGGTATTACCAAAGATTTCAGGGATCAATAATGTTTGTTTAACATCACCAATGTAATGTGATCACGATATTTGTTTTTGCTTAGATTATCTCTAGAATATGAAATTTATTTACATCAAATCTACCATGGAACCAAAAATACAGTTGGAAGCATTTGAAATAGTATTGCTTTCCAAATTACCAGTCATTTTCTAAATTAATTTTGAGTTTTGAAAATAAAGTAGATACAGCTACATATATCTATCAACTCAAATAAAATATAAATGAAATAGCAATGTATATAAACTATAACAATTGTAATATTTTAAACAGATTCTTTATTAAAGTTTTTAGTAGCTTGTAAAAATAAGATGTAATCTTTTTATTTATTAGCATATTAAAGTCAATCATAATAGTTTAAAACCAAGCACCCCAACCTTGTAAAATTTGCTACAAAAGAATTAATTGTTTATTATTAATTTGTAAAAATCTTTATTTTGTGAATATTTACATTTATTATCATCAAAATCCAAGCTAATTCTGCATGATGCAAAAGATTGGTTAAAAGCAAATGTTTGGATTTTTTTTTTTTTTGTAAACTAATGACATTGTGATATATGTATAAAAAATTAATAAATTTTATTTCCGTTTAGTTATTTATTCTTTTACTTTCTTATTCTTGATGTTCTTCTAACTGTGCATATAGAATATGAACATAACAGTTCCAAATCTCTCCGATTACAATAGAGTTGAGCCTTTTCTATAAGGACTTTAGATCTAGAAATTTCAATTTTTTTTAAAGTTTTCTATGGAAAGATACTAAACCTCAACCCTTAATGACAATGTCACCATTCTTTCAAGAATTGGTATCTGGACAAGTGATTGAGGGAGCTTGATTGTTTTGAGTAAACTAAGGTATTTTTAGCCTTCCAATCCATGGCGTATACATTATAATTGTAGCCTAGAATATTTAAAAAAAAATTTAGTTTTAGTGTCTTCTCTAACAATCTTAAAAAAAACATACCATAACTGCAAACTCCTAATGTGTAGATTTTTTTAAATATTTTAGAGCTGACTCTGTTATTTTCTGGACCCAGACACTTTACTGACAACACACAACATGATATTTTGGCATTTTGTTGTGTAGAGATTAAATGTAACCCTGTTGTGTTGTTGGCAAAGTGTCTTGTTGGTAGGGTTTGTATTCACGGATACTGTAAGGATGTCACACAGGGTTACACACTATTAAAATCAAGTGTTTTTAAGGGATTTTTTGCTGATTTATTAGTGTGTAACCCCCTTAATGGTATCCATGAATACAAACCCTACTTGTCAGTAAAGTGGGTATTGGTAAAGTGTCCCAGACCCATTATTTTCAATTCCTTCTTTTAACAGGACATCCCTCATTGCCACTGCCAAGTCAACTCTATCATTCCATTTTTTTGATTTACAAGCTTCAGGTAACCCATCAGCATGCAAACCAATCAAATATTCAAACCCATCCTTTTGTATATGAAAATCACATTTCTGGCCAATAATGCCTCTATCTGTAGGTTTTTGGTTAAGGTTTAATACCATTTTCGAAACCAAACTCTCAGTTTCTCCCCTTAAAATAATAATGCCATTTGTTAAATGAACAACTTATTTATAATATGAGATAACAGAAATCTGTAAACTTACTCATCATAGGAAAATTTTTGTTCAAATGTAAGTATTCCTTTTGTAATCATATTAGTAAATGAGCTTGAAAAATAATTTTCACTGACAGAATTGGGCATATGATCAAGATTGAAAATACTTTGCAAAATAAATATATTCAGTTTAGTACAAATGAAAAATGCATATAAAATGCATTAAAAAAAAAAATCAAATAACTTACTAAGTTTGTACAAGTCATCTAATAGTGTTTATTTTTTGATTATCCTTTATACAGAAAAATGCAAAAACATGAATCTAAGAATATATTTGATTTTATCAATGGCTGTATGTATATACAATTACAGACAAGCAACTTACATCTATTATACAATTTTTTTCAATTGCTGTGATTATATCATTGGGTGATTTGTCAATTATCTAGATCATGAAGAATAAGCTTTTGTTAAAATATTGATACTTGGAATTAATAAAAATGATAATGAATATTCAAATCAAACCTGTGTGATCTTATCCATTAATTGAAAAAGCGGATCTTCTTCATCCTTTCATCTGGAAAATATAAAAAAATTTTACATGTGTCAATTGTAAGTTTAATAATAAAAAAGTGTAAAACTTACGTCGGCACTGTAAGATTTATGCAATATTGCATCAGCATTGTAAGATTTATGCAAGTTTATGCTAAATTAATTTCCTGATGCTTGATAGATCTTCAAGTTTCATGTTTAGTTTGAAATCATTTTTCATTTCAACCCATTCTTATTAAAAAACATATCCTTGAAATGTGTATCTTCATCAGTAGATCTACAATGCCAAAATATGCTGGGCTGATTTAAAATGTGAAAACTAAAAATTAGCAATGTACATAAAAAATTGTTTGGTCTATTATTTACACTTACTATAGGAATTCTTTATTTTTTGTCATCTTTTGTGCATTTTTCTAATATCTCTGAGACATTTGTACCAGTTGATAGTGTCCAGCTTTCATCATTTTGTTTTTCATTAGATAACAATCTCTCTTTATCAGTCTATCACATCAAAAAAGGAAAATGATTTAGGGCAAATGATATGCTGCAAAGTTATTTGACAGATTTAAACTTACTAGTTTGATTTTTCCTGAATTACCACCATTAGACTATATAAATAAAATATTTTGGTGGAGAAATCTGATTCAAAATACATCATAACTTTAAAAATCAATCAAAAGGGCATACCTCATTAACATCATTGACAACTCCATTAATCATCAGGAAACTTTTTCTGCTGTAATATTACATCCATAAGTTTTAATATGAAATGTCGTAATATTTCACATAAAAAGGATGTAATATTTACACTGAATGTAATAATTGTGTAATTTTTGTGCAATTTTTGCATAATATTACACTATTTACATAAGTTTATGGCAGGCCCCATAATATTACATAAATTTGTGTCAGAAAAAATTTCCTGATGATATTATCACCAGAATCGCCATTTTCAACATCTTCATGTACACTTTTATGATATTTTGTTTCATATGTGAGTAATTACTATTGTGCAGTGGTCCCATGAAACCACCACTATTAAAAATTAATGCTTACTTATAACACTCCCCAAGGTTGTTTCTTTTACTTCTATTATTTTGTGATTCTATTCTTTTTTTTTAAAAAAGTTGGTTAGTGAAAAATTAAAGAGCGAAACATACATCAATGGTCATGTCACAGATCAATAAATTGATCAATAATAACACTTACTGATTTATTGTTGAATATACTTTAGTTCTTTTTGTTCTTTCTCTTGTTGTATTGTGGATTTTTTAAAAAATTTAAAAAAGAAAAAAAATAGTTAAATTAATGATGTACACAAAAAAAAATTTTATTTACATGTATGGGTTGTACAAGTTGTCCCCATTGGATTTTTGTCCGGTTTTACATGATTGATTTTTTTTTTTGGAAAAACAATTTACTTTTTTTACAAGATGTGGAAATGTAGATGTTGTTTAGCATGGTATGTTCTTGTGAGAGATACACGGTTTTTATTTATTTTATTATTTTTATAAATGTATTGATATGTATCTTTTATTACTTATATAAAATATATAATGTTGAAATCAATGCATAGATGAACTTGTCATTTATTTAGGTATTTATAGGATAATAAATAATTGGTATTGTTTTGCCTTAAATCAATACTAATAATATTAATATTAAATATAAGAAAATGTCAGGCAACACAACTGTTGCAGAAGAAACAATTCAATATGTGACATTTGATTATGGAGATTTTACAGATGTTAAAGCACATACATTGCTTTTAGACATTACAATCATTCTCTTATGTTCTTCATGTACAAAGGCTAATCTGACCAAGTTTCTCCCAATGAGATGATGCAATTAAATTTTCAGGGGGGGGGGGGGGACAAGGCACTGGAGTTTATTGAAACTGCATCATTGTCAAGGACATTTGAATCTTAATCTTCCCTCACAGCACCTGGCCAAGGAAAGGCTGAAAAGCTTCTTGCAATGATCCTACTTCTAGGTAAAGAAATTATTTGGCTTGCAAGCTGGCTTATGTGGAGCATTAGATTACATTGATCTTTGGCATCAAAGTGGAATCTAACAAGAGAAATGTCATAAAATGGATTGTGTTTTGTATAAATTAATTATTTTTTTGAATTTTTTGTTTTCTTGATGAATTTTTTATTTGATTAACCAGATTTATTGTTGTTTCAAAGTAGGTAGGGATCTAGGCTTTTGCCCAACCAGTCTCCTTCCCTAGGTCAAAACTTTTGCTTGTGAGTGAGTGCATCTAGATTTGCACTTTGAAACTCAAACATTAGTTTGGAAGATTTTCAAAGCAGTTCTAGTGTGTCCCTCAAAACAATAACCTAGGATGCAACCTCCCGAATTGCAAAACTTCAAACCAGTTTCAGGTACCCATCTTTGTCCTATAGGTCAGGATAACACAAAGTGAACATCACACAAGTGCCAACTCTCATCAATGATCAATGCTCATATGGTAACAGCCAAGCCTGGTCTGAGGGGAAGATAAGGATAATTTTTTTGTACACCTTAATAAAAAGTCTTCCAACATGGTAAACATTATAAACAAACAACAACAAACAAATAAAGCACTAATAAATGAAATAGAATTATTGAAAAAGCAATTAGCTGAAAAAGAA